TAACGTCCGAACTATCTACGCATGCAAAAAAATTACTAACATTGTATGTTAGTTTTCTGAGAACGGAGCTGGTTTTCCAAAGATCCTCTGAAAACGCGATCTCTGGAATTTTTTCAAAAGTTGTCTCCGCTTGTGAAAAGTTCTGCTCAAGTTTTGGCTATTGTATGGAAAAAAACTGGTCGATTTCTATCTTAATTTCTGGAGATCCAAAGTGCTCTTTCAAAGATCTCCTATAAAATCGATCTTCCGAATGGCAAATAGTAGTAGAAATGCTGTTATTGACGTTATCTTTGTTGTCTTTGCTTGTGTACTTGGGTTTTAACTGTACCAAATTTTATTGAGAAACAACCAAAGCTATCTACGTATAGAGATATATTTGATTGACTTTTAAAATTCCGACTTGGCTCCAAATAACTTCAAAATCAATGAAATAAACTAGAAGGTGGTAATAGAGCCGATAGTTTTATTTTCAAACAAGTGTAGTAGATAATCGAAATAATAGGAAAAATCTTGGCATTTACAAGGTAGGTGAGAGTAGAATAGGATATGATTAGTTTGCTCAATGGGCATTTCTTTCAAAAATTCGTAGAATTGCTTGATGCTGTTCATGGATAATGTTGATTTCAAATTATCCGATGCATTTTTCTAATAGTCGATATTTTAGCATTGATCCTACTAGTGGAATCATTGGCATGTATACAAAAAAACAAAAGGTATTGAGTGTGACTATTTTCCTTTCTTTCTTTCTCTTACAACACATATTCATTTTCTCTCTACTTGGTGAAGAACATATCTTTTAAACGATAATCAATGATATTCACAGTAGTCAGTTTAATGTTGGAATTATTTAATGAGAAAACAGCGTTGTTCACTTGAACCAAAGTCAATGAAATATTGTATGTTTTTGAAAGACAAACTGTAATGTTGGTTCACGTTTGTTTTTGTTAATACGGTGAAAACATTTTATGATGAAAATTGCTATTGTACAACGTTATCTAGCTGTGTAAAGTTTAGTTGTCATTTTTTCGACTGAAGGTGCGTTAGATAACAGAAACGTCTCGAATAAATCAAAAGGATTAAAGCGGTGTCTATTATTCTACTTTTCATCATGGAATGTTGGTGCTGAGCTATTGTTTCGTATTAGTTTTTCAAAACTTAACACAATCTCCGGTTTGATACCGACTATCAATGATCGATATTAAAATTTTGTCTGTGAAGGTTAGAGACCAGTTCCACTTCTAGCCACGTGTTTTTTTTAACAAGTAAAACGAATAAGATTTTAAGTTCCAGTCTTGGTGATATTATAGAGATATTGCACAGAACACCTTCAGCGATATGGCTATGCAATAAAAGGTTAAGTACTGACAGAGTTATCAATTAATCAAGTTCAAAACTAATTGAAATTGTGAAGCTGTTCTCTACAAACTGACCAAGTTTGAGGGCATGTTTGCTTCCCCCTTAATATAGAATCGTAATAGTAGTTCCAACTTTAGATGATGAGTCATTACCTGTTGGATCTGTGCCCATTGTTAAGCTCGGGAATGATGTGACAGAACAGCTAGTTAAGCGACATATTATCACATAGCGTGCCGTCTTCAACAAACAATAGAGATTGATCGTGAAGGTCTGTTAATATATCCAACGTACCGCTATAATTACGGTGTTGGATGGACTCCACAAAATCACTGTTATCACGCTGATCACAAGAATGACACGAAGAGACAATCGACAAAGAAAAATTATAGACGAGCAACGTTAGAGCAAGTGAATAACCTTGCTGATTTTCCTATTGGTGATCGTTCATGCTATGAACGTCGGACAATAAGTGAAACAGCGGATACGATGACTGTAATTACCGTACCATCTTTACCGGATTCGAACGTAACATTCGAAAAACGAATCAATACAAAAGAATCGGCTAACAGGATTATGACTGCGGCGAATCTCAGTCCTCGCAAAAGCCAAACAACGATGCCACTTCAGACTCAGTCCGGCAGTAGTATTCGCAGACTGACTTCAAAATTCAAGAAAAGTATTCAAGAAATAGTATCAAATCTAGCCGAATCGATGGCACTCGGTCAGGGTGAAACACTAGTGCAGGTTTCGGATTTAGATACGATGCCTGAAAGAGTACACGGTCAAAAATCACCATTAGAGGTTGATAGCGCGATGGTCAGTTATCTCATCGAGATGTATCGCCAGTATGATCAACAGAAATTGCCGTACCAGGAAAAAATTCGAATTTTGTCATTGTTACCTGCAGACTGGACATACAATGAGATACAGGAGAAATTTGACTGTACTCGAGATGCAGTGAACGTAGCGAAAGATTTACGGTTGTCCACGACTACACCGTTACATTTAGAACCCAAAAATACCTTATACGCTCTCGTATCTCGCCGGCGTTAACGGAACACTTCATTACTTGGCTGGTAGAAACTGAGATGTTGGTATCTATACCGCGGGGACATGGAGAACTTGAACTAGACAGCGGTGAAATTCTTACCATCCCCAAACAAGTTCTCCAAGCAAAAAGAAGTCACGTTATTGTTCAATACAAATGGCATTGTGAAAAAGTGAAATTCACACCGCTGAGTGATTGAAAACTATTTTATATTCTTGGAAATCTGAACGCATCCGAACAAAAAGCTTTGTCCGGTTTAGACGATTTTGCTGTAGCAGCGCGAGACGCCTGGGAAAAATTAGAATTTATTTGTCAAAAGTTCCTCATATCGTCAGCCGAACGTAAGAGACCGATCAAAAAATCTAGTCAGTATCTTAGGAGTCGTTTTCGAATGTACTGTTCTGTCGACACTCCAATCGCTAGTCATTGTACTGTATACTGTTTGAGTCAAAAAAATAAGGATACATACAAGCAAAAATGCGGCCATGATCATAATCTCGTCTGCGAAGATTGCGTCGCTCTCGCACAGTTGCTCGATGATATTGAAGAAAATATTACCATCTTAACTGATAAAGAAACTAAAAACGAACTGACGTATGATTTTGAACAGTCACACGATGCTATTGTTGAGCAATCGCGCCATATAGTTCGTTCAGTCCAGCAAAATACCGGCAAAGCAAATGATATTAAAAATTTGTCAGATGATTGTGCCTGCATGACTGTAGATTGGGCTCAAAAAATACTACGTACAGAGCATAGAGAAGGGCAATCAAAATATTTTGGCAAAAAAGGTATGTCTGTACTTGTCGAATCATTCACGATGAATAACCCAGAAATAGCAGGTAATATTTTTGGAGATCTTCTCTTCTATTTGTGAAACTTGTCGATCTTTTAGACAGCTATAAAACGGAAACATACATGTTAGCTCTCACACGATGTCGCCAAAACGAATTGGATACATTATCCGGCGGTCATCTAATAGCAGCGGAGTTTGCGAAACGTCACCCCACAAATCAAGAAACTGTTAAAAAGATCAGACAATGCGAGTGTTCTTGGTGAACATGCGACGTCTGAATCCGAAAGAATCTTATACTCGTTGCTCGTAAAACTGCGGGACGTTCAACAATCGATAGAAGCAAACCGAGATCTATTATCAAATCATTGATTATCATATTGTTTAATTCAATTTGACGAGGATGTTGACTACCGTATTTTGTTGTTTTATTATTATTAAATGCATCTTTAATTTTTGGTTGAGTTACAATTACATCCTTATTATCCTTATTTTTTAATGAATCAATCCATTCCATATACATTTTTAAATGATGACGTTGCATATGACGTGTATAATTAGATGTTACACCGATTTTGTGAGTGACTAAATGTTTACATACCAAACATTTACTTGGCGTTTTACCATCGGCATGTTCTTTGTAGTTAACAAAAAATTTCTCGACACAAGACTTTGGATTACCTTTTTTAGTTGATTTATTCTGAACAGTTTGTAAGACAGAGGTATTGCTAATGGAACTAGACGAACTAGATGTTGCCATCTAAAGTATTTTCTAATTTTACAAAAATATCAGCGGTTATCACACACGGTGTGGATAAGTGAGCATAGATAGAACTAAGATTTCGTTTTATTTTCTGTGTATTTCTTAAGAAATAGACATGAGAAAGGAAAAACGAGAGACTTGTTTTCATCAACTGTAATGTGATCACTGCAGAAAGCGACAACGTTGCAATGTTTCCTTTTATTCGCTCATTCGAGATCATATGATCATCGGTAGGATATATACACATAAGTTTAACATATTCAGAATATATAAACGTTGAACACATGTTAATACTGCTTTTATGTGACGTAACAAAAACAAAAAAATTTCCAGAGTTGCAAAAATTTTTAACTGGAGTTGTGGAGTTGGAGTTGAAAAAATCTGAACTCAACTCAACTCTAATCTAATAAAAACGAAACTCCTACTCAACTCCAACTCCACTAAAAAGAAACTCAACTCCGGAGTTGGAGTTGCCCATCTCTACTCTGATGTAAATATCTTTCATCACTGTTCCCTTATTGCATGGACACTTTATTACGTCGTTTTTGTTCTCACATGATTTTCTGTTCCATCCTTCGAAATGACCTAAAATTGAGAATACCGGCAGAATTCCGATTTTTGCGCCTCTGATCTGGAAAATATAAACTTTCTCTATGACAAAGCACGATGGAAGAAAGAAAGGTATGTACTTTCAAAGCTCGTTTAATGGCGGTTCCAATGAAGTGCAAA